AATGAGTCTGTACCTGATATGTGACCTTGACTTTCAATAACCCCCAATTTCCCTAGTTTTATTGCTTTTTCGATGTATGTGAAACTTGATGCTAAAATGTTTAAGCTAAAATGTGGGTATGGTCCCAATAGTGTCACGCAATCGTAACTAATACATAATTGTGGCCCCTCGATGGCATCTGTCAATATGTAATTTAATACACATAAAATGGTGATGAGTTCAGCCTTGTGTTACTTTATTTCTCTTGTTCTTTTTACCCTTGTATTGCCTTTATAATCTCATATATTATTTTTAAAAATACAATCTGTACTCTCTATACATATAGAGCAGTGGATTGACAATGTAAATATATCCAGAGAAATGTGAGTGGTTGTTACGAAACACTCAGACAGCCTATTACCTGGAGTAATCCAATTTCATTTTCATGATTACACAAGCATCAATGTTTCATACAAAATACCATTAAGGCATTTTGACGACTTGTAATTTTTTAAAAAAATGGATAATTACTGAGGAAATGCTTTCGACGGCAAGGTAATGAGAATGGCGTACTAGTCCAAAACAGACATTTGGTGCCTTGGACTATGGACTAGCGGTCGATATCCCAAAGCACTAAAAATATTCTCTGAAAGATTTTCAAGCGTTACGGCGTAATGGTTTTCAATAAAACGACGAATGTGGCAACAATGCCATAGTATTTAGGTAGCGATTTACAATCTCTATGCCCACTGCATCTTTGTATATTGGTGGAGTATAAATATTGCCATTTTGCCCTAAATCCGAATACCTAATATAGGGAATTCATCCGTTGTCTTTGTTGGTCCTGATGATAAGTGTTTGAAATTATTTCCCTGTCACACTCAAAACGCTACAGTAATAGGATGTCCACATACTTATCAGCGTGAGGGAAAATCAATACCCGCCATGGCCGTGCCATCGGTGCTTCTCGTTCGTCATGTTTAACATAATGCAGTTGTACTGTTGTGGACATAACTGTAAACAGTAACCAGCTGGAAGACCATTATTTAATCGTGTAAAATCTCTTATTGTTTAAAAGTTTAAGTGTAAGAATATACCTGTGTTGGTATGCGTTAAGGGTTGCAACGCGGTTGCAGTCACGGTGAATTATACTGCATTTTGTTTGTGGACATTTTTCTCAAACCATTTTGTGTATCTTGTTCGTCATGATTTTTCAAAGATTGTAAATAGCAATACATTTGTCAGGATTATATTGTAAGGCATCAGAATCCAATAATTTTTTTATTGATAACGTTTCGAAAAATTATTGGAGACAGTCACGGTTATCCGCTAAAACAGATTGAATTTGGCTAAAAGTGAGTGAGTATGGTTTTACGCCGCTTTTAGCAATGTCACAGCAATATCGAGGAAATTGGCTTAACACATTTTACCAATGTGGGGAATCGAACCCGGAATTTGGCATTGACAAGCGAACGCTTTAACCACCAGGCTCCTCCATTGCCCTTTGGTATAAAAGGCTGAAGGGGGATGAAAAATATGTTATTATGAGTAGGAACTGAGGATACACACTGTGTTCCCGAACCCACAGACAGTTGTTAGCTGCCCTTTCACAGGTGCATGACCGGGCTATTAGATATTCTATTAATGTACATACTGAAATATGCAAGGTAATAGTGATGCGAATGATTTTAATCCGGCGATATAATGTTGTGTAGTTGGGTGCGGGAATGAGCAGCCTGGTAAAAGAACTTATATCAAAACTATTCAGAAAATACTTTGCCTAAACGTGTTGTTGCAATTATTGTAATATTATTTACTTTTGAGCATATTACATATATACAGAACCAGTATGTAGTGGATCGTATTGACTGGTGGATGTAAGATAAATGTAAGACAAATATTGTCCATATGAAATCCTGCATACATTCGTGGAGTATTTGCTCTGAAACGGCGTAAAACACTGGAACGTACTCTGAAATATTCACTGAAGTGAACACCGAAATATACACTCATATATATTCTGTCTTGCACTCTGAAATGTTTACCGAAATATACACTCATATATAACCTGTAATGCACTCTGAAATGTATACCGAAATATACACTCATATATAACCTGTAATGCACTCTGAAATGTATACCGAAATATACGCTCATATATAACCTGTAATGCACTCTGAAATGTATACCGAAATATACACTCATATATAACCTGTCTTGCACTCTGAAATGTATACCGAAATATACACTCATATATAACCTGTAATGCACTCTGAAATGTATACCGAAATATACACTCATATATAACCTGTCTTGCACTCTGAAATGTATACCGAAATATACACTCATATATAACCTGTCTTGCACTCTGAAATGTATACCGAAATATACACTCATATATAACCTGTCTTGCACTCTGAAATGTATACCGAAATATACACTCATATATAACCTGTAATGCACTCTGAAATGTATACCGAAATATACACTCATATATAACCTGTCTTGCACTCTGAAATGTATACCGAAATATACACTCATATATAACCTGTCTTGCACTCTGAAATGTATACCGAAATATACACTCATATATAACCTGTAATGCACTCTGAAATGTGCACCGAAATATACGCTCATATATAACCTGTAATGCACTCTGAAATGTATACCGAAATATACACTCATATATAACCTGTCTTGCACTCTGAAATGTATACCGAAATATACACTCATATATAACCTGTAATGCACTCTGAAATGTGCACCGAAATATACACTCATATATAACCTGTAATGCACTCTGAAATGTGCACCGAAATATACACTCATATATAACCTGTAATGCACTCTGAAATGTGCACCGAAATATACACTCATATATAACCTGTCTTGCACTCTGAAATGTTCACCGAAATATACACTCATATATAACCTGTCTTGCACTCTGAAATGTATACCGAAATATACACTCATATATAACCTGTCTTGCACTCTGAAATGTATACCGAAATATACACTCATATATAACCTGTAATGCACTCTGAAATGTGCACCGAAATATACACTCATATATAACCTGTAATGCACTCTGAAATGTGCACCGAAATATACACTCATATATAACCTGTCTTGCACTCTGAAATGTGCACCGAAATATACACTCATATATAACCTGTCTTGCACTCTGAAATGTGCACCGAAATATACACTCATATATAACCTGTCTTGCACTCCGAAATGTATACCGAAATATACACTCATATATAACCTGTCTTGCACTCTGAAATGTGCACCGAAATATACACTCATATATAACCTGTCTTGCACTCTGAAATGTTCACCGAAATATACACTCATATATAACCTGTCTTGCACTCTGAAATGTGCACCGAAATATACACTCATATATACTCTGTAATGCACACTGAAATGTGCACCGAAATATACACAGTGACTCATATATAACCTGAATTGTAAACTGACATATACACCGCCATGTATATACGGATATACATGTATATAGTGAAATATACACTGATATGAGACTGAAAATACACTGATAAATACACCGAAACCCACACTGAAATATACCATGAAATATACGCGAAGACCAAAGTGGGTGGCTATAACGAGATGGTATCTCACTGACAAGCGTCTTGCAACACTTCTCATCGAGCCCAACGGTATTGGTGTAGATGGCACGTCCTCTGGCTGAGGGTGGTGTGCTTCAATACTGTCGATAACCCTCGCGTCTTCTTCAGACTTTCTCAGATCGGTAATCACGGCCAGCATGATCTGCAGATATTGGTGCCTTTCAGATATCGATAACGGTGAAACAAGCAGGGGAAAATAGTAATTGATCCTTGTAGTCGATCCCAGGGAACGTTCACGCCTGAATAGGTAATATGCTACAAAAAGAGAACTGTATTAGGTCGAGAAACAGCGAGACAATAGAGATGTGACGTTCAGGCTGCATGCCAAATGATAGAATTAGGACAAAATTGCCCTCAATTTGCTCGTTATATATCGAGGTGTGCTATGCTAGCTCATAGATGCCATTGTGGGAAATATGTGAAGGACGCGAGGATGACGTACAGACGCGCGGCGCTGTTATGAGGTTTCACAAACTATATTTTCAAAATGAAATATAATCATTTTTTTAAATGTATGATTTCGTTTAAGAAACGCATACTCAAATGAATATTTAACTTTTAGTTTTTTCTTAAATGTAGATGCACAGTCGGGTTTTGAATGAGTAATTGTTGCATTTACTGGACGTTCACATGTCAGTGGAATACAATTTATTAATCATTAGGTTATTATGTTAATAATTTTCAAATCATGCTATTTTTCCACACCTACAAGTTTGTTTTAAACATGAGCATGTTAAAAGCGCATATCATTAAATAATCACGGAATAATTTAACCTTACTGCGAAAATATATTTCGATTAACATGTACATATATCAATATTCACATATAATTAAAGACAATAACATAGTCATTGATATCACTATATAGAATAATATTTACATTATAATACATTACATTCCACATGTATACCTTCCTATTAGAGAACAGTACAGATGAAGTCCTGATCAAGTCATTATTGTTTATGTATTCGGTAATATCGCTTTGCATTCTTGAAACTGGAATATTAATCAGAAGTCGTTGAAATTGCATTTGTTACCTGTTGTACCGATTCAATAATTCAACCACAACAGCACAGAGAGACCATCATGTTTACATTCAACACACAGTAGTTGTCCGTCCAGAAAGCTCCGCTTTTGGTATATCTATTTACCGGTTCAGTCGATGAAGACACTAGTACCTTTGGGGTAGAAATTAGGCTGTAATTACCGATGAGCCGCGATACACTGGCTCCTGCGTTGACACTGGTCGTGGCTGTAGAGGTAGTGAAGCCTATGCCAAGTCGGCTTCCTAAGGCCCATGACGTAGTCGGTAGTGGTAATGTTTCATTTGCTGAGCATAGTATTGATCGAAATTCGCCAAACACACTGGAGCGCTAACAAGAGAGAGATAGAGCCTGATCGCAACACTACTAAATCTGCATGGTAAGCGAGGTTGTCAGACTGATGTGACAACTAAGGGATAGCGGACAGTAGGGACGGGCACGATACAAGATGGAGGATGCAAGGTGAAATTCCATCTACTGGAGGCGGCTGGACTAGATGTGCAAGAGGAGGTGATATTCTAATGGTCTGTCTCTCGATGTCCGCCTAGTCGAACCGAGCCAGAGAGTTCTACATGTGAAGTCTGTCACAGACTGGTGGCAGACGACAATTGGAAAGGCTTGCACCGCCATTCTGGTATCCGTGGACCTGGAGACTACTTCTTGGACGTCCATGGCGAAATGTGTTATGGCTGACACAATTCTCATTTTCGATTTTTAAGAGGGCGGACATGTTGACGATAAAAGGTTCGTTGATTAACTATTCCGACTGAAAGCTGCGTGTGTCAGGATATAAGGGGAATCGAAGGACACACGAGCAAAACAACCACCATGGTAGACCATTATTGACAAAGCCGGGGCGCAGGCCTATAATTTGACTGGCGTCTCGTTGATAAAGGTATTTCACGAACCATAGCGCATCTCCCATTTGGATCTATTGTGAGGAGTCGGGTTCTCCACGATAGCGGTCATTCTGACTGATTGCATCACCGTGACGTAGTCTTCGACGAGATAAAGAAATTCTAACTCAACAGTTACATATATGGGAATGTTATGTGTGGTACCTATCTCAATACAGCAAACTGTGATTGCCTTGTGTCTCGACATGGATTCATGAAGCAATAGGTGTCGGTGATTTTACACCTCAACTCAATGTGTTATCAAAGAACGATCATTTGAGAGATTTACAACCAAACTCCATTCACCTTCTTCAACAGCTTGCTTGTCTGTGTTCAGGTCGGGCCGACATCGACAACGTGAAGTGAATTCTACATTTGCAAATGTCTCTAAGGATATTTATGCCAAAGTCAACACCAACGACCACTTCATCTTCTTTCAACAACAGATTTACTTGGACACCATCGACAGCGGTTGAGCTACCCATTCCGTCGTGATTGGTGTTCTACAGTAGACATAAGACCTGATTGGGGTACCAGCCCATTCATGTGTTCGTTCCTTTTGGTGCCATCCCTGCCAGGATTTCCTCAAGCTCGAGGGGTATCACAACCAATCTGTGTATGCTGTCTACCAAACAGGAAATCTACCAGTTAGGATTTCACCATATTGGATTAAGCAGATATATCCATTGGATAATATCTAGCCCTTCCATTATGGCCTGGCTGTTCAAAAGGTTATATTTGTGAACTTCTTCGTTTACCTTCTTCTTACCCATAAATTGATGCTTCCATTTACTGTTATATGCGACTTATCTCCCCTTTGAGGTCAGACTTTATGATTAATTCACCGTTAACCGTTCTCGGCAAGCCTGTTAACATCCTTATTGATTCTCTCCCTATGTTTAGTATCGATTATCATCAAATTATGTCTGTCATTCTAAATACATTACATCCAAATGTTGATTTCAGGAATGCACACATTAACGCTGTGTGGTTTTATATATTGCTCAATAATACTTACATGGATAAACATCATGATACCGTTTTATAGGGTCACAATTTGTAAATATAACGGGGTTTATGCGTGGCAATCTGTGACAGTACGATAATTATAGGTTAAAGGCAGTAGTTAATCTGTTGTGTTTAATGGCAAATCGATGGATGCAGTCAAGAAGTGCACTAAACATTGTCGAACTGTGGTAACACATACTGGCAACACCTGTTGCATAATCATTTATTTTCCTGGTACTCAGTACGAAGCTAATTATAACTATATTGATGTCAATACGTCTGTGGTACAACCGTTTTCATTGTGCATTTTCAGTGACCCTTTCTGTTTCAACATCTGCTCAGACTATGTGTTAGTTTTGTCATAATTTGCTTTATTCTATATTTGGAGTGTGTGTATGTATATATCTGTTGACTAAATAGTCTGTAGGTCTTGTATACCTTTCTATACATGGATGTGAGCATCCTCGTTTATCCGGTACAATACGCTTCCATTCATCTATAATGGATACCTTGGATTGCTAGCTACCATGGCTTCGTTCTTCCGATCAATGTCTTCGCACATAATTTCTCTCGTCAATGAGAGTAATTTGATTGGACAACTATTAAAGCTTCGTTTCGGCCTCAAAAAGAAGCTGTGGCAGCGAATGAATCCCGGATTTTATCTCAATAGAAAGGAGATTTATTACACTGGGTGATCGAGGATGGATTTGTGATTGTCGTTTGGTGTGATGACAGTGAATATAAACATTGAGGCTGTATAACGTGATTGTAAAAACTGACACTGTTACGTTGAGATATATGGTGAACTAATCTTTCTCGAACACAATCATGTGTAAATCTGTATCTCTGTTGGTGTTTAATTGACTGTTGAATTTGTTTACTTATGTGCCTGTACAATATTGTGTCTGTCCGTCCTGTGTCACTGCTTTCCTTCTATCTTGCCTGTTTCCCAATGTGTGCCACTGCTTTCCCTCTATCTTGCCTCTTTCCCAATGTGTGCCACTGCTTCCCTCTATCTTGTCTGTTTCCCAATGTGTGCCACTGCTTCCCTCTATCTTGCCTCCTTCCCAATGTGTGCCACTGCTTTCCCTCTATCTTGCCTGTTTCCCAATGTGTGCCACTGCTTTCCCTCTATCTTGCCTGTTTCCCAATGTGTGCCGCTGCTTCCCTCTATCTTGCCTCTTTCCCAATGTGTGCCACTGCTTTCCCTCTATCTTGCCTGTTTCCCAATGTGTGCCACTGCTTCCCTCTATCTTGCCTCTTTCCCAATGTGTGCCACTGCTTTCCCTCTATCTTGCCTGTTTCCCAATGTGTGCCACTGCTTCCCTCTATCTTGCCTCTTTCCCAATGTGTGCCACTGCTTTCCCTCTATCTTGCCTGTTTCCCAATGTGTGCCACTGCTTCCCTCTATCTTGCCTGTTTCCCAATGTGTGCCACTGCTTTCCCTCTATTTTGCCTGTTTCCCAATGTGTGCCACTGCTTTCCCTCTATCTTGCCTGTTTCCCAATGTGTGTCACAGCTTTCCCTCTATCTTGCTTGTTTCCCAATGTGTGTCACTGCTTTCCCTCTATCTTGCCTGTTTCCCAATGTGTGCCACAGCTTTCCCTCTATCATCCTCTTTGCACTTGACTATGTTAGTACTGACACATTTTGACACTAGGTTTCTAAATTTGTCTATTTCTATTTTCGTATCTCGCTGTCTTCATGTGTACTCATGTGTTTTGCAATGTTTGTCTCCGTGGCCCTTATGCTTGCCACATTTGTCTCTTTGTTTGCCACTGAACCTCAATCTTAGCCACTCTCAATCTCTTCTGTTTTCCTCTGGCGTTTGTATTTGCCACAATGTATCTCTGTGTTCGCAACTGAGTCTTTTTCTCAGCACCTGTGTTAGCCTCTGGCCTTATGTTTGTCTCTATGGCACTCAGTTTTTCAATAGGTCTCCAATGTTAACCAATGCTTTTCTCTGTCACGGTTTGATTGTCTCATGATTGAAACTTTAAATTTGCCTTTCTCTGCTTGCTACTGTGTGTCATACAGGAGGCTTTGTCTTTCAGTGTTTGTCACTGTGTGTCATGTTGGAGACTTTGTCTTTCAGTGTTTGCCACTGTGTGTCATACAGGAGGCTTTGTCTTCCTCTGTCCGCCACTTTGTGTCATGTTGGAGGCTTTGTCTTACAGTGTTTGTCACTGTGTGTCATGTTGGAGGCTTTGTCTTCCTCTGTCCGCCACTGTGTGTCATGTTGGAGACTTTGTCTTACAGTGTTTGTCACTGTGTGTCATGTTGGAGACTTTGTCTTTCAGTGTTTGCAACTGTGTGTCATGTTGGAGGCTTTGTCTTCCTCTGTTCGCCACTGTGTGTCATACAGGAGGCTTTGTCTTTCAGTGGTTGTCGCTGTGTGTTATGTTTGATCCTCTGTCTTCCTCTGTTTGCCACTGTGTGTCATGTTGGAGGCTTTGTCTTCCTCTGTTTGCCACTGTGTGTCATACTGGAGGCTTTGTCTTTCAGTGGTTGTCGCTGTGTGTTATGTTTGATGCTCTGTCTTCCTCTGTTTGCCACTGTGTGTCATGTTGGAGGCTTTGTCTTCCTCTGTTTGCCACTGTGTGTCATACAGGAGGCTTTGTCTTCCTCTGTTTGCCAATGTGTGTCATACAGGAGGCTTTGTCTTACAGTGTTTGTCACTGTGTGTCATGTTGGAGACTTTGTCTTTCAGTGTTTGCCACTGTGTGTCATGTTTGAGGCTTTGTCTTCCTCTGTTTGCCACTGTGTGTCATGTTGGAGGCTCTGTCTTCCTCTGTTTGCCACTGTGTGTCATGTTGGAGGCTTTGTCTTACAGTGTTTGTCACTGTGTGTCATGTTGGAGACTTTGTCTTTCAGTGTTTGCCACTGTGTGTCATGTTGGAGGCTTTGTCTTCCTCTGTTCGCCACTGTGTGTCATACAGGAGGCTTTGTCTTTCAGTGGTTGTCGCTGTGTGTTATGTTTGATGCTCTGTCTTCCTCTGTTTGCCACTGTGTGTCATGTTGGAGGCTTTGTTTTCCTCTGTTTGCCACTGTGTGTCATGTTTGAGACTTTGTCTTCCTCTGTTTGCCACTGTGTGTCATACAGGAGGCTTTGTCTTACAGTGTTTGTCACTGTGTGTCATGTTGGAGACTTTGTCTTTCAGTGTTTGCCACTGTGTGTCATGTTTGAGGCTTTGTCTTCCTCTGTTTGCCAATGTGTGTCATACAGGAGGCTTTGTCTTACAGTGTTTGTCACTGTGTGTCATGTTGGAGACTTTGTCTTTCAGTGTTTGCCACTGTCATGTTGGAGGCTTTGTCTTCCTGTGTGTGTCATGTTGGAGGCTTTGTCTTTCAGTGGTTGTCGCTGTGTGTTATGTTTGAGGCTTTGTCTTCCTCTGTTTGCCACTGTGTGTCATGTTGGAGGCTTTGTCTTCCTCTGTTTGCCACTGTGTGTCATACAGGAGGCTTTGTCTTTCAGTGGTTGTCGCTGTGTGTCATGTTTGATGCTCTGTCTTCCTCTGTTTGCCACTGTGTGTCATGTTGGAGGCTTTGTTTTCCTCTGTTTGCCACTGTGTGTCATGTTTGAGGCTTTGTCTTCCTCTGTTTGCCACTGTGTGTCATGCAGGAGGCTTTGTCTTACAGTGTTTGTCACTGTGTGTCATGTTGGAGACTTTGTCTTTCAGTGTTTGCCACTGTGTGTCATGTTTGAGGCTTTGTCTTCCTCTGTTTGCCACTGTGTGTCATGTTGGAGGCTTTGTCTTCCTCTGTTTGCCACTGTGTGTCATGTTGGAGGCTCTGTCTTCCTCTGTTTGCCACTGTGTGTCATGTTGGAGGCTTTGTCTTCCTCTGTTTGCCACTGTGTGTCATACAGGAGGCTTTGTCTTTCAGTGTTTGCCACTGTGTGTCATGTTTGAGGCTTTGTCTTCCTCTGTTGCCACTGTGTGTCATTACTGTGTTTGATGCTCTGTCTTCCTCTGTTTGCCACTGTGTGTCATGTTGGAGGCTTTGTCTTCCTCTGTTTGCCACTGTGTGTCATACAGGAGGCTTTGTCTTTAAGTGTTTGCCACTGTGTGTCATGTTTGAGGCTTTGTCTTCCTCTGTTGCCACTGTGTGTCATGTTTGATGCTCTGTCTTCCTCTGTTTGCCACTGTGTGTCATGTTGGAGGCTTTGTCTTCCTCTGTTTGCCACTGTGTGTCATACAGGAGGCTTTGTCTTTCAGTGTTTGCCACTGTGTGTCATGTTGGAGGCTTTGTCTTCCTCTGTTGCCACTGTGTGTCATGTTTGATGCTTTGTCTTCGTCTGTTTGCCACCGTGTGTCATGTTGGAGGCTTTGTCTTCCTCTGTTTGCCACTGTGTGTCATGTTTGAGGCTTTGTCTCCCTCTGTTGCCACTGTGTGTAATGTTTGATGCTCTGTCTTCCTCTGTTTGCCACTGCGTGTCATGTTTGAGACTTTGTCGTTTCATGGTTCTCACTGTGGCCCTAATGATGACAACATCTTGCTCTCATTTTGCCAATGAGTCTCAATCTTAGCCACTCTTTGTCTCTTCTGTTTGCCCCTGCCTCCTATATTTGCTAACATGTCAACCTGTGTTTGCCGCTGCATCTGTTTCTGTTAGGTACTGTCTTTCATGTGTGTCTCTCCTTCCCACAATGTCTCTGCCTTAAACACTGCGTCATTCTACTGGTTTACCTGTCTTTATGTTTACCAAAGTGTCTGTCGATGT